GCCAATATCGGCGTCCCGATCCGATACGTGGATCGGATCGGGACAAGCCTAATGCAGACTACTACTAAAAAAAAAGACAAAATTTCAGACCACCACAAAACATTCAAGGACTTTCAAGGTTTACAGTACACTTTTTACAGCCGTTTTCAAAAACTTTTGAGGGCCTTTAACATTGTCTTTCAAATTGACGAAGTTTAAAGGATTTCACAAACCCTTGGAAAACCTGGACTTGATAGACCAGTAATTTAGGAATCCTTCAAAGGTTGCCCTCGCTCTGCTGGCAGAGCAGGAGCGCATAATGTTCAACTACCTGCAAAGTCAAAGACTGCAGGGGCTGGTGGCTCAGGTTTTTATAGCACCGATTCAAGGTCCCCAGACAGCTTTCTTATGTACATTGCGCAAGTAAGGAAGTAAAAGTGTTTAAAAACATTTATATTGAAACATGTTGGTCTCTCTTGAAAATAATTTTTTTAATCTCAATGAGATCTACCTGGATATAAAAGGTTACAAACATACAAAAACTGAGGAAGGAGCCAAGAGGTCAGTCACAGGATGTACTGGGAAGAATCCTGAACTGTCCTGCGGTTGTACAAAAAAAAACAATCATTCTTACCCTTTAAATAGAAACTCCCATCAGGCCTGTAGTGAACAGAAACAACATCCGGCATCTCCTGAACCATATCCATAACATTCCTGAAGCCCAACTGTTTCAGAGGCATGGGATGTCCCAACATGGTGACATAGTCTCGTCTGAGCTGGTCAGGATCCAACCCCAGCTTAGCTGACATGAGTAATGATCGCACATCCTTCTTAACTTTTGCCAAAAGTTCCACGTGGTTCCTGTTGTCCTCCATGGTCTGAGAAAAAAAAAAAAAACAAAGAAAAACAGGATAAGTTTAAGTCAGCCTGTTCTAACGTTTACATTATCATGTGAAAAAAAGAAATGAGAAACCACATTAAAGAAACATTTTGTTTGTTTCTACTGAGAAATAACTTTGAAATAGCGTATTTGATTGACCCTTTATGACTAAAGCTTTGTTTAATAAGCAGACCGACACCTCAATAGTTCAGCAAGATTCATCTAGTTTGGCCCTCTACTCACTTTCAGGAGGAGTTACTTGCAGCCTGTTTTAAGTCAATGCCAGGGACCTAAAGAGCTCTGGGATGTGACACTGGACTTTCCATTACTACATTTTTAGTTAGTCTATGGTAGATTTGTCATTTTTTTGGATCATTGCCATGGTTCAGAGTCTAGCTGCAGATAATTTCACATTTTTCTCAAAAATTCTCACATTCATTGTTGAATTTAACCCTAAGACAGGGAGATGACCTGGTTTTCCTACAGCAAAGTATCTCCCACCATGAAACTCCCACTACAGCTGATAACGACGGTGATTTGTGTTACCCCTAAGATTTTTTTTACCCCAATAAATGAATGTACCTGCAAGCCTGTAACTGCCAAGAAACGATCAGAAGCGGCATGAAAATGGTCAGATCCGCCTCTTTGGCTGCAATGCGCGCACAGGGGGAACAGTTAAACAGGAGACCTGCGTCGTGCCAGGGCAGTTATCCCCACCAGAATCTCTATCCCAGTGGCGGATCTAGGGGGTGGCTCCTTGGGCTGCAGCCCCGGATGTTTCCCAAAGAGCCCCGGATCTCGCTTCTGAGCTGTTTAGAGTAAAATGTGCAGTACTGGAATTCACCAGAGTGGCAGCATGTGCAGGAAAGCAGCCTGTAGCATTCCTGTGCAGAAGAAGTCCCCACTAGCTGTTGCTAAACAGACTGATGTCCCAGGTATGTGAAGCTCTAACTGATTAGCAGACGTTCTTTGTCCTGGAGTTGTATAAAATTCTGTTCCCCTTGTGTCGGGAGTAGAGACTGACATTTTTTCGGGAATCCCA